AGCGGGGGGGCGGGGGCGGGCGGGCCGGGCCGGGCCCGCCGCCCTGCTGCTGGCGGCCCTGGGAGCGCAGGCCGCGGCGGGGGATTTCGACCCGTACCGCGTCCTGGGGGTCGGCCGGAGCTCCAGCCAGGCCGACATCAAGAAGGCCTACAAGCGGCTCGCCCGCGAATGGTACGTGCCAGCCCCCTCCGCCCCGGCCTTCCCCCGGGCTCTGATCTCTCTGGGACGGACACACGGGCAGACGGTGTCGTTTCGCGTCCTCTCGGTTGGCCGAGCTAGGCCGCTGTGCTGCGAGGCAGGGTAACGCTGCTGGGCGGTGGCATTAACCCCCGTGCCTGGCTGTCCGCGCCAGGCGAGGCCCAGCAGGTGCTCAGAAACGAGCTCCGGGTCTCCCTCACAGGCCAAGGGCCATCCTGAAACCTCGCAGGCACCTTCATGCCAGCAATCCATGCTGTAAAACCCTCCCGGAGTCTGGCTACGGTGGGGAAAAGTTCTCCCCGACTCAACTAGGAACGTTTAATATGCCGGCATCCAGGTCTCGGTTTGGTACATCCATGTCCAAGGGCAACTCAAGCCCTGTGCCGAGGGGAAACGCGTTGGATCCGCAAACGCCGTGCCCCTCGCTTCAGCGGTGTGTGCTGAGGAGTGTTGCCTCAGAGAATAGCCTCACCCGGAGCTTTTAGAGCCTGCATAGTTTTGCCTGAGATGTCCCCGAGGGCTGTGACGGGAGGTATTTGATGGGAGGAACCCGGTAGATATGTAGGGCAGCAGCTGAGGGACGGATCGCTGTAGTGGGTAGGAAAGATACACGCTCCCTCGTCCTGGGCTCGGGCCGTCAGATCGGCTGGAGGGACAGGTCTACAGGCACACGGCCCGCGTCCCGATGCCGCATTCTGGGATGAGGTTTGGGGTGGGAGAGCACACGCCGGGCGTAAAATCTGATCTCAGCCTCAAGGAATGCTGCCGTGCACCCTAACCGTCCATGTCCCGCTCGCCTCTGAATGGAGGCCGACCACTTGCCGTGCCCCCCCAGGGAACTGCTGACCCCCTTTTCCTCTGGTTCTGCCCCACAGGCACCCGGACAAAAACAAGGACCCGGGAGCAGAAGACAAATTCATCCAGATTAGCAAGGCCTATGAGGTAACACGCTCTTCTTGCTAAACTTCTGCTGTCGTTAAAAGTTAAGCGACCTTATTTTTCCATATGCAGCTTTGTGCTTTTTTTGCGCACGTCTACACGGGAAAGGTGCTCAACCCTGTGGAGGTGGATGCTACCGACCAGAAAAGTTTCCTCTGCTTTCTCAACAGAGAGCTGCTGGATGATACCAGCGTGGCTTCTGTTGCAAATATTTTGCTATGGGTCTGCCCTTGTTCTCGCTAAAAAGGCTCAAACGAGGAAGGAGCGGGTATTCGCCGAGCCCCACACAGCCGGGCGGCTGTCTTGTCCGTGTCACACGTACATAATAAGGATTTTGGAGGCGATGTAAGCCACGTTAATCACTGCACGCCTTGAGTCACTTCAGATTATTCTTTGCATAAGTAGTTATTCGCACATTGCTCTGGCACGGCTCGCGAAATCGGCTGCCCCAGTTTGCGGCGGCTGACCCAGTCCTTCCATGGCAAGCAAGCTGAGCTCATGGAAATAAAGTGAATCCTCATCTCCCAGCTGAAAAACGCAGTTTCTCTGTGGGGCTTCTGGCTGCTCAGTAAAACTTTTGGTGCTTTCCGATGCACTGAGAAAACCCTCAATGTTCAAGCAGATGCCAGCAAAAGCCGCTCCAGAAAAAGAGCATTAATGCTCAGTGGGCACGACGTTCAGGCTCAAGGAGCAATTGGCATCAGAAATGGGTACAGCAGTCTTGATTTACAGGCTCCTTTTCTTTGGGCTTTGGCTTTTTTTACCCTTATTTACCACAGCGAGCCTGGAGGCGATGCGATAGTTCCCTTTTCCAGAATATTTATCCCTCCAACGCACAGCAAAGGCCGCATGTTCCCTCGTAGCCCGTCCTTACGCGGTTGCAGTTACTTGCTAAGGGATTATCGTCAGGGCAGTTTGCCCTCACAGTTTCAGGCAACCGTTCTTCTATCATCTCCTTCCCAGATTCTCTCCAACGAGGAAAAGAGAGCAAACTTTGATCGCTACGGAGATGCCGGGGAAAGCCAGGGCTACTCTCAGCACCAGCACCGCCAGTTCCACCACTTCCATGAAGGCTTCTATTTTGATGAGTCCTTCTTCCATTTCCCCTTTAATTCGGAGAGGCGCGACACCTCCGACGAGAAGTATTTGCTCCATTTTTCCCACTACATCAACGAAATCGTGCCAGAGAGTTTCAAGAAACCTTACCTCATTAAAATAACCTCGGACTGGTGTTTCAGCTGCATCCACATCGAGCCCGTGTGGAAGGAAGTCGCTCAGGAATTGGAGGCGCTGGGTAAGGATGAGGCCGTTCAGGCTACACGCGTGTCCCTCGCTCTGCGAGGCTGCGGCGATCGCCTTTGGCTTTGGAGGACTGAGTTTAACCTGTAGATTTCCTCAGGGATTTATCCTAATGCTTTCCCAAATATTACTAACCCCATAATCGATGAGGCTACGTGTTAGAAATGAGGAAAAAACTAGTCCCGTAGATCACAAGGGCAAGCTGCCTTTTCTCCTGACCATACAGCTAGTGGCTTAGTGCAACGCCGATGATGATAAACGATGGCGTGGCCAATGGCACCACCACGAGTTTAGACCACCAGCGTAAGTGCCACGTTCCTCTTCATCCTGCACTTGGATGGCTTTGATAAGCAAACATCCCTGCAGAACACACCCTCGACTTGAGGGCCGCTACCATACAGTGAAGTTTTGAGACTCACTGAACACATTTGGAAGCCAAGGAGGTATTTTGTACTCGCCCCTCCATGAAGCCCCAGCTTCCTCGTTTGCCCTGCAGATGTTGTCTGCGTGCGCTTCCAGAAAAACACAAACTTGACAGACGGCAGGAGGCAAAGGCTAACTAAGATTTTTCTCCTTGAGGTTTTAATGTTGCACAGGAAATACCGGTGGACAGGACAAAAGAAGACAGTGTGTTCTCTCTCTCCCCCTAGATAAAGCTATGAGTTTTAAATACAATTTTCAGGAGACTGGAAGAGGAGGAAAGTACAGAGTTAGGAGGGAGTATTGTGTGATTAAGCCCCGAGCAGGATGCTGGGGAAGGGAACAGGTCTTCAACCTTGATTTTCTACTATGCGTTTTGGATCATCTGTGATCTTTCACGTGAACCCGCTCTCCTTTTTCAGGAGTGGGAATCGGAGTCGTTCACGCGGGGTACGAAAGGCGCCTCGCCCATCACCTAGGTGCGCACAGCACGCCGTCCCTACTAGGGCTCATTAACGGGAAAATCACCTTCTTCCACAATGCCGTCATTCGAGAAAACCTGCGGCAATTTGTGGAGAACCTTCTGCCGGGGAATCTCGTTGAAAAGGTACGCTCTAGTAAGAGTGTCATGTGCTGCTTCTCATGTCTGCCTGGATATTCATCTCTCCTTAGCCGTTTCGGTGGCTAATCTGTTTAATTCAGCCCCCCAGCTGATCTGTGTCACGAACGCGAGAAGATCCGACCGAGGCTGGTGAAGCGAAGCGGTTTGAGAGCTGTAATTACAGCTGCAAACCCCGGAGCTGTCGGAAGCCATCGCGCGAGGCGGCTCCATAACGCTTCTCCTTGTGAAAGGGCTAATCCCGCTACGACGCAGTTACACCAGCAGCTTTGCCTGCCTGCTGCTCTCCCAGCTCTAATACCCCACAGCTGCCAGAGCTGTGCGAAAGCTACCCCTAGGTTAGGAATCTGTGCCTGCAGGATTTCACTTCCCTTCTCCTTTCTCAGGGATTCATCCAGCAAATTAAGAACCACTCGCTAACTTCATGTAGGCATTGTCTGCTAAAACTCACCCACAGAGAGACCCGTTATTCGTTCCGTCCAGTTTTGATTCAGACCTTTGAAACTGGAGCCAGCAGCATGAGCCCTTTCAAAGTTATAGGTAAAACCTCCTACTAGATAAAAAATTCCTGCATTTTGGCCTTGCTCGGTTATTTTTGGTAGAGTCCTAAAGCACCCACCTCCCCTTTCAGTGCCATGTAGCCAAGTCAGCCCCCGCAGCGCTCTCACCTGCCTGTCCTCCGCCCGGAGCCTTGTTCAGCTCACCTTGTTTTCCCTCCAGGTCTTCAGTGAGGGCCACCATTCCCAATGGACTCTTGACCTGCTGTCTTCCGGGAGTTTGAGTTCATGCCCCAAAAGCAGGGTCCGCTGTCCCCTTCCACAGCTAAAGCAGCTGTTTCACCTCCTGCAGCCAGGCTTTTCTCAAAAACAGAGCTAACAGTCAGCTCTCCTCTCCCTCCAGGCCCCTAAATGAGCTGTGATCTCCCTTTTATCTCCTTCCTCTAGGTCAAAGAGGTGCCTCAGCTGAAACAGAGCAGGTTTGATGGAGCTCACAGGTGCCTGTTAACCCTTGGCTTCCCACTAGATAAAAAGCATACAACCCCAATGAACAGTTGCGAGACTGAAAGTGGCAC